CTAAAATGATAGAACATTAAAATAATCGGATCTAAATTTAATTTTGATTATGCTAAAAATATTTTGCTTTGCTTCCTTTTTTACTATTTAAATCTATGTTAATTAATGTATTTATTGTTTAAGGAAATTGCTTACACTAAATCATAAAACGTCAGAAATTTACCATTATTTCTATTAACAACAATTTATCCAATGCTCAATATTGTAATCACAATTGATTGATCACTGGGTGGTGATTAGTGACATCTGTGTTAAGTCTTTCCTAGTGTAGATCGAATGCTATCGATCAAGTTGCAATGTGGCCACTAGTTTAGGTGACTCGACATTGCATGCACTATGTTGAGATGAAATGGTGGTTGTAGGTAGTCAACAGGAAACCCTGGACCCGGGTTTCGTGCTACTTGGCACTCGTCAGCAAGGTGTACCTGTAATCTTGAAGGAACTGGTGCTCCCTGACGGATTAATTTCAAGTATAAGGAGAGTCATTGTCTAATATGGTGGTCGCCTGCACCAAACAGACGATGGACTCAAATATACCATGTTGTCATCAGTCAACGTTGGAGAGGATCGATAGAAGACTGTCGCTCATTCTGGAGTACATGTTTAGACTCTGATCATGTTCTAATACGAGCACGCATTCGCTTGAGCCTCACTGGACGCAGAAAAACCACACTAAAAAGACCCATTGGAGTTGAACTAATTGACGAGAAAACCGAAAATAGATTCCAGGAAAAACTGAGATCACATTAGGGCAGTTTTGAAAACGACGCTAACCCAGATGTTGCTTGGAAAGATATACAAACAGCTTTGGAAACAGCGGTGACATCTATTGGTGATTTGAACTAAAGGGTCACGAAAAACCAGTGGATTTCTTCTATGTCTGTTGCACTGATAGATTTTCATAAACGCATCCTATCAGACTCTGAACACAAGGAGGAGTGAGAACAAATCAGATCTGAGCTAACCAAAAGTCTATGGAACGACCGTGAGTAGTGGTGGGCAACGAAAACAAAAGACATGGAAAAGTCAGCGGCTAAATATAACAACAGATAGCTTTCTGGACCAGTAGAAGAAACTGGAATTAAGAAGTCAAGTGTAGATGAGATGATCTCGGAAAAAGACGACACTCTTATCTGCCCTCGGCTTAAACGTTTAAAACGATGGGTGGAACACTTTAAGGAAAAGTTTAGTTGGCCTTCAGCTTTTCCACAACTACTCACCATTCCCAAACAGCCCGAATAGAACACTGAAGTAGGTTCCCCAACTCTAGTTGAAGTTCGAAATTCTATAGCTAATCTGAAACGAGGAAGAACAGGTAGTCCAGATGTCTTTAAGTATGATGGTTCAGTTTTAGCCATTAGGCCGACTAAAAGTTTAGCTAAAATCTGGGAGATGGACGTAACCCCATGTGACTGGTCTCAACCACTGATTGTCCCAATATATAAGAAGGTGTCAGAATCATCCTGCGACAGCCATAGAGGGATTGGTTTGACTAATATATCTTCTAAAGTACTAGTCTCGGACGCTTAACCATGACTCATGAGCTGCATCGACCACATATTCACCATTCGTTAGATTTTAGAACACAGGCATGATTATCGGCGTCCGACAATCGTGGTCTTTCTTGACTTAAAAGCAGCATTTGACTCTGTAGACCGAGATTTTCTGTTGTAGTGAAGGAGAATACAGTTTGGGGAAAATTGATCGTACATAGAACACAATTACAGAGTTACTTGGTAAAATAGAAAAACCATACTCTAATACTTCATTTGTAAAATGTTCATTAATTGTCTTAGACTTCATTGTCCCTGCATTTCCATACCAAGTGCTCTTTGTTCCCGTTTTTCTCTTTTCGATCTTCTGCTACCAGACATTATATTCCTGACTCGCGATTTTTTATATTACTTACGTCGATATAAGTAGCACACACCACACTGTCAGTGTCTGTCATTGAACGGCGTACTTCAGAAGTACATAAACCTTGTGAATGCTCTTCACTCGAACACCACTAGTCGAGTGAGGGCTTATGGATAAATGTCATTTATGATGGTGGAGAAGATTTGTAGCTCAGGTGGATGATTTTGGTGGAGTTTTGTTCTCTGAGCTGGATGGTTTGGTCGTGGAGCTTTCATCGTTCTTCTGAACGACATCATCAGAACAAACTTCAGATAGAAGTGAAGTGTTCGAATTTCTCCATATGCGTTTCACAGCTTGTTTTGTACACCTCGATATTGATTGGTTCTTATTGACCTTAAATTTGTCATTGCTTACTCCTTTGTTTTGGTTGTCTCCAATTGGTTTGATTTTTGTTCCTATATTTGTGCATAACTTTCCTGATTGGTGATAAATTGGATTGATTTCAATATGCTTGTTGGTTGCTGATTGACCTGAGTGCCAGGCTTCTAAAAATTCCCTGGTGTTTTTGGAATTTCCTCTGTCCAAGAATTCCACATTTTTCCAATCGAATGAGTGTCCACAGTTATTCACGTGTATTGATATAAGTGAGGAAGTATCACGGCGTTTGACTGCTAATTGATGTTCATGTAGGCGAAGGTGAAGGGGGCGTCCGCTTTGTCCGATGTAGTGTTTTTCGCAGTTGGCACAATTTATTTTGTAGATGATGCTTGATTTGTTATTTCATCCGTTGGTTTGCATAGGATTGATTATAGTGATTTCATCGGTTTGTGTGCCACACCTATCCCGAAGGTTTTCAGCAGTCTCGTTGCGGTTTCTGAAATGTCTTTTATGTATGATAGGGTGATCCTTTTGTTGATTTCTGTCCTTGATCTTAGGTCCTGATGCTGCGTTTGGTTGGTATTTTTTGATGAAGTTGGTTGGGTAGACGTTCTTTTGAAATATGTCCTTCAGGTATTTCTCTTCATTTTTCGTGCTGCCAGTGTGCTGCAGTGTGTCCTCGCCCTCTTGAACAAAATGTGTATGCAGTTGATTTTGTGAGCTCTTGGGTTGTTGCTATTGTGGTTGAGAATTCGATATGTATGGGTCGGTTTCCTATATACTTGAGTTTCCAGTTTTCCTGTGTCGATTCTAGTGATTAATATATCCAAGAATGCTAGTTTGTTGTTTGACTCCTGTTCCATGGTGAACTTGATGTAATCAAAGACGTTGTTGATCAGCTTGTAAGTGTCTTCCAGCTCATTCTTTTCGATGATGACGAATGTGTCGTTTACATAGCGAATCCAAATTTTTGGCTTGATCACTGGTAATATAGCGGGTTCTAGTCTTTGCATCACTGCCTCTGCGATCAATCCTGATATTGATAATCCCATTGGTGTCCCTTTCGTTTGTTCGTACATTTTGTTGTTGAGTTGAAAATATATTGTTAGGCATAAATTGATTAGTTCCTGTGGACTTTGAGTTTGGAGCTTCGTGTATTTAGTGAGGTTTGTGTCGTTGTTGAGCAGCAGGGATATAGTTTCTTTTGCTAATTTCGGTTCAATTGAGATGAATAGTGCTGTTACGTCGAAGGATATCATCAGTTCGTCGTTGTTGATTTGGATGTCCTTAATTTGGTCCAGGAATTGTGTAGGGGTTTTGATGGAGTGGTTGGCTGAATCTACTAAATATTTCAGTATTCTTGAAATTTCTTTTGACAAATTGTACGTTGGTGTTTCGGGGAGTGCTACAATTGGACGTAATGGGATGTTTGGTTTGTGTATTTTGGGTCTGCCGTAGAATCGAGGGAGTACTGGTCCGTTGGATTTCATTCTCCATTGTTCTTGTTTTGTTATTTCTCCTGATTTGACTAGCTTGTTTAAGGTCTTTGAGATTTGGTTGTCTAATTTTTTGACGGGATTTGTATCCATCAGTTTGTATGTGCTCTTATCTTCCAGTAGTTCTTCAGCTTTTTTGACGTATTCTTCTTTGTCCATGATTACTGTGGTGCTTCCTTTGTCCGCTGGTATTATGACAATATCCTTTCTATTTTTGAGTTCTTTTAAGGCCTTTTGTTCTTGTGGAGTCAGTTGGTTGTTTTCCGTCACCTGTTGAGTTAGCGGTACTATAGTTTGCCTTATTTCTTGTTGTGTTTCTTCACTGGTTCCGGAAGTTTTGAGTGATGACTCCAGTGCTGCGAAGAATTCCAGCTTTGAGGCGTCCACCATCTCAATCTTCCCATTGATATGAACATCAACTGTAGGATACAGGTACATTCAGCTGATAAGTCCCAAATAGGACGAAACGCGCGTCTAGGATTCCACTGCTAGCCACTATCCATCTTTGCTTATAATACATGTGAATCAAATTAATTTCGAGGCAATAGACACTGTTTGCACATATACCAATAAGAGACTAATCAACTACAGTCCTAAACATCAATCGGAAGATTCAAGTAAGTAATATCTGATATTATTTCTTATAAAAAACTAATAAGCTGGACCTGCAACAAAATTAATATTATAAAGAAGATTGGATTTCAATCAAGGTAAAAACTTTCAAATACAAACTAGAAGAACTTTCAATTGATTTCATCCTACTGAATGTTAAATAGAATCACCACTTCAACACTTAAACTCAACATTTATTTGAGTTGATTAAATCTATTTGAAGTAATTAGATTTATTAATTATACTTGTAACTATGTTAAACTATAGATGAATACAATTCTAAACATTGAGAAATGACAATAAACAATTCATTATTTGAAATAGCTGACCAATGAAGTAAATATAGAATTAAGTGGACTGAACTGGAAAAAAATTGTAGTTGAAAATAATTCAGAATATTACCTATTACTTCTTACATTTTCCACTAAATCCAGTTGTTTGATAGTTATGCATTAGATGAATAAATCTGAACTACCATAATCGTATCCAACTAACAAAATATATAATTATAAACAGTTACATAGTTCAACTAAACAAATACCGCCAGTATATGTCTGTTATCATTAAATTAATCTGATTGGTTAGATATTACACTCAGTTCACATTCAATTCACTTTAAATTCGTGTACAATTCAATCGTCACATATCAAACATAGACTCAACATCAAAGTCACTCCACCGTATTCAAACACAATGAAAGAGACAGTCGGTTCACGGAGAAAATTATGTATCATCAATAAACGATTGGATGGGAAAATAGCAATCGTGACAGGATGTAACACTGGAATCGGTCTTTATACAGCCAGTGAATTAGCTCGTCGTGGTGCAACAATCATTATGGCATGTAGAAATATTGAACGAGCCAACAAAGCTAAAACACGTCTATTGGAAATGTATGGTAATAACAATAGGAAAAGTGAACAAATCGATGTTGCATGTAGTCAAGTGAAGTCATCTTTAAAGCCTATCGAATCAGATCAGGTATGCTAACATTGACTTTAGTTTACTCTTCTTAAGTTATATCCCTTTCTTGAAGTTGATAAGCTTATAATTTAATAGAAAAAAGAGAATTCAGCGAAGAAAATTATCTTTTCGACGAAATCATTTACTTAAGCTCTACATTCGTATATATAGTTATATATGGAAAATGTATGTCTATAGGAGGATAGAAAAGATTGCATCACGAAGATGGATTCTAAAATAAATAACAAGTGAGGTTACGTACTAATCATGGGGTAAGGAAGAAAATAATTTATGGGTCAGATAATAGTCCACTTGACAGATATGAAGAAAAGCGACATACACAAAGATCATATTAATAGACTGAAAAAATATCAGAAGGGGTTTTGTGGAGATTTTAGAAATTTCACTAGTTGAAATCATGAGTCAATTGAAGCTAGGCCACCATGGAAAACCTGGAAGCACTGGACGATTCAGTTCCTTTGACTCTGTAGATTACTTTAAAAGAAGAGTCCTTTGAAGCGATATGTCCACAGTTAATTAAATGCTCCTGTATCGAATTAGTAATTGTTCTACGTTCTCCTTTCAAGAGCCAGGTTGGATAGTGGTCCGAGATGCGTTTGAACAGTGATCGCTTTGTGTGGCTTATGTAACGTGTCCCACATGAGCAATATGAAATAGCAATGTCTTCGAAAAGAAAATTTTCTTCGCTGAATTCTCTTTTTCTTATTTAATGACACTGTGGGTTATTTTAATTATCTGAAGTTTATAATTAGTCTCAGTAATACTCGTCAGAGTATTAGCTAGTCACTGAATAGCACCATCTGCTGAAATCTTGTTATAGTGAAAGTTAAATATCATATCCAGCTAGATCTTGAGATGAATTCATTTTTATCCTATTCATTTAAGTGTAATAAACAGATACATCAGTATGGCCTTGAAGGAAATTACTATCAATATCACAATGGGGTTCGTGGATATTCTAGTAATTTTAATGGTTGAAATGATGAGTCGATTTAAGTTAAAACATTATTTAAAACATGGAAGTAATGAACGTCCGTTTTGATCTAGTATAGGACTTCTCAACAGTGCGCATTCAGGACGAAATGGTCATTCAGTGCTTCCAGGTTTTCAGTGGTGGTCTAGTTTAAATCAACCCATAATTTCAACGATTAAAATTACTTATAAGATATAATATCTAAACTATCATCAACGACCCATATTATAGAGATATAGATAAAAGAACTATGTATTCATTTTCTGATCTTATCTGAGCTGATTGTTTTTCTTATAACATTAGATGAAAATCATAAAACGCTTATCCATAAGCCAACTATGTTTTATGATTATAACATCATTTCATCTAGTAACATCAATCAGTATAAGAAGAAAAAACAGTTAATCAAGTTTAAGTTTATATTTGATTCTCAATTTTAATTTTCAAATATGTAAGTAACAATAACGTGTTATTCTTATACTTAGAACTCTTTTGAACTGGACACGATTTGTTCAGTAGTAGAAGGTTATGCGGGAAATAACTTAGCCTTATTTTAATGCCTTTACGTTATTTAGCATGATAATGTGTCATACATGTGGGGCTGAATGGAACATTATCAAAGAAATTAGAAATCATTAGGAATGTCATTTGAATGGGATGATGAACTATGAAATACAATGATTTCATATAATTCTGTCTCAATTGTTGTTCAACCTTTATTCAAGTTCGTAAACGGAATCAAATGCATGAAGTATATTGTTCCACCATACTATATTCAAATTTTATTGAAACAGTGGAGACGATGTATTTAAGAAAGATTCTCATCAATTTTCTTCTTCCATAATATTTCAATTTCATTCCAGTTGATCATTGAACAACTTGATCTGGCTTCGTTAACATCAATCAGAGAATTTGTTGACAGAATCAAAAGTAAATACAACAAAATAGATTTTCTCATCAACAATGCTGGACTCATACTACAGAACTATACAACAACTGAAGATGGTTTCGAAATGACAATGGGAGTGAATTATTTTGGACCATTTCTATTGACAGAATTGTTGTTACCATTGTTAAAGAATGCTGCACCATCACGAATAATAAATGTGTCATCTGCACTGCATAAAGATGGATGCATTCTAAAACCTGATTTGCAGTACAGTAAGGAAAATTATAATGCAATGAAGGCATATAGTGTATCGAAATTGGCAAATGTGATACATACTATTGAATTGAATGAACGTTTGAAAGATAGTGGTGTAGTTGCTGTGAGTTTACATCCCGGAACTGTCAAAACTGAAGTGCTGAGGGATCTGAGAAAGTTTCCTATGGTGAGAGATTTTTATACGTTTACTCATCATTTGATGATGTGTGATAATTAGAAGTATTTGAATTATAGTATAAACTAAGAATCCCAGAAATAACGCAATTGAATCAAGAAGTACTAGACAAGCACGAACGAATGTACTGTATTTGAAATTCGAAATTCAGCATTCCACAAGTACAAAACAATCATTAGTTCATTCAAACACCATATGATGTTTTATCTATTGCAATAAAAAAATTTATCATAAAATAATCGTAATATGCATACTGATGTAGAGATTTTATGCCAAGTGAACCTAATTTCTACCGCAATTTCTGCTTCGATTTCAAATTACGATAAAATTGATTGATATGACGATCATGATAAACATGAGATTGTTCACATATAAACCATCAAGTTGGTTGAAATAAAGTGGTTAGTTGTTTTTGTCGATCTCAACATTACGATCGATTTCCAGTAATTAGATGAAGTGGGTATTAATGTTACTCAACAATGAAATACATAGGACAATATCTTGGTATGTTTCCGATATGTGTATCTATGTATATATGACGTCTATACAAAACTTAATAAATCATTAGCATTTATCAATATATATGTATACTGAAATAACAGTAATGCTATAAATTATTCCGTTTACTCAATTATGTATTATTCACGTCATTTGTTTTAGAATATTGTACAACCACTTATTCGACCTTTCTTTACTACACCATGGAAAGGTGCACAAACTACTTTATATACTGTACTGACAGATAACTTGGCTCCTGGAGGTTATTATTCAAATTGCACATTGAAAAAACCTTCAAAATCTGTTCAAAATGGGGAAGACAGAAAATGGTTTTGGAATAAAACATGTGAACTATTAAACATACAATGTAATAACTAGGTGTGAATGACTACTCAAGTGAACTGTGTAGACAGAATTCGGTGTTCATTTTGATGATCGTATTGAGACAAATTCACCAATAAATCAGTTAATAGAATGTGATGATTTTCAATTTGGTGTTATTTACAATATGATTTCACTTTGTACACACTGATTTGAGTGAATGAAAGCGTTGCTCTTTTCAAAGAGTTAACAGTTTGTGTGTGTTTTCTGTTTGATTAATTGTGACTTGACTGGATGGTCTGAGTATTGCATGAATAATTTGACGGGACGTGGTTTTGTTTGTTGATAAACTGATCGACTTGAAAACAGTTTTCATCAGGCAATGAGATGAGTGGAAGAATCATTTTCACAAATGTTCACATCTCGATCTCTGTTGACACTCATCACATCACATGAGATGGAAGTCAGCACATCGACTTACCTTTCCAGTTTGATATTGACTGAATGAAAGAAAAGTGACTCTTAGTCGAAAGGTTATACGTAACTAAGTACCACACATCTAGTCCGTTTCAACATCGTTCTCAATCATTCTTCACCAAATGATTCCTTCTGAGACCAATGCATATCTCGTGGACAACACAAATTATTCACTTTGTGTGAATACACATGATCAATCTCAAATGATTTTCTATGCGAAAATCTGCCATTCACCAATATTACTAAGTATATACGACTGTTGCGGGTATATTACAACAGTTGGTATTTCCGAGTGAACAACTATTGTTTGTATCTTGAAATATAAGTGACAACACACTGTTAATCGTCAACGAAGCACAAATGCCATTTCGGTTCACTGCACTCTGAATAGTGTTTATACTCGAATTATTCAGATTCGATACTCCTAGGCTCCTCATTGTGTTTGCTTGGCACTATCATATAATAAGGACACTCCGAATACTTAGATAAATCTTCAGTTGACTCCTCTTCTGAAATCCACCTCCTCATTTTCTCTCTAATCGATCATGTAGACCTGGTCACTACTTGTTTATGATCAAAGTCCTTAGATGAATTGTGGCTAGATAATAATGAAACAGTGATCACCAGTCACTATTGTTAAGTTGTGAAGGCAAATCGAGAGTAATGGGACTACTGACGAAGTGTTGATCATTCAGTCACCAGATAGATGGTATCAACGAAGAGACTAGTTCAGACATAATACTGCACACACAGAGCAAAGTGAATCACAGAAAGGCCACGATTAAACGCGTCGAAATGACAAAACCACAAAAAATGCAGGTAGAACATAACGTGGGGTCGAGTGATGATGAATATTAAATAATACGGAAAATCACTATCGGGTGAACGATCTGCCACACAACAACCAACTTCTATCCAAGTGATCTGGGGTCACTCAGAATCCAGTACGATTGTTGTATTGACCCCATTCAATAAGTCAATCCCATCCAACACAGCTCCGATCAACAGTCGTCACATCCACAGACTGATGCAATATGGAACCATTGTCTCACAAACCAACACAGAATTATTTTGGTCAGAGAGTGAAACTGTTCTTATAAAACCTTATTAACAAATCAGTCGTCTGAATTGAATTCATCGTAGGCACCATCAGATCTGGCGACAGAGACCACATTGGTAATTGGACTGACGGCTAAAATGCACGTGAAATTCACACATCATTGAATAAAATTAAGTTCACTAAACTTAATTTTGCTCTTAACGATAAAGAAATATTCGGATGATGAAATTAAACTTGAAAGTTCTGTGAATTATTTTGCTGACTGTTGAAATATACGTTTAATGATTGAAGATTTATTACACAGAATGCTTTCTTCAACTTCAGTCGAGTTCCATTCAATCTAAAACAAACATGGGAACAGGAACTACGTAGACCTAAAAGTAACTACGACATAAATTATGACATTATTGCTAAGTCTATTTTACGTTCTCTGTCTATACTCACTTTCCTTCGACTCTTTCGTGTATTGTCTTATACTACTTTTCAATATTCAGTAAATAGTTGTATTCCCAGCAATTTCTACACGTACTCATGTTTGTTGTGTAATATTCCAAAATGTTTACATATACTTTTACATTGTATTTATCATTATAATAAATTGATCTCAATTATTGTAACAGTTATTCGCATTTTTATGCACTCGTTCAACCCTTGTGTAAATGCAATAGTTTCCATATTGTTTGTCCTTGGTTCAGTATTTGTTTGTTGATAAACTGTTACCAAGTTTAGACACTGCTAACAGCTGTCATTTGCACTATCATATATTGTAGTTATTCTTTACTCTACTATTGCAGGAAGCCCTCTTATTTCACTTATGGATGCGGGAAACGCAAAAGCTGTATCGTGAAAACTGCGGATGTGATGACGGTTTGGGTTCGAGTATGGAAACTTAATTGTAAAGAATTGCAGGTGTTAAAACCTTGAGGATATTACCATGTTTATGTATCGAGCCTCTTATTAAAAGATCGATATCTGATGCCTCAGAAAGCGGTGATGGAGCCGTAGCTTATATGAGATGATGCAAGTACAACGAGGTGTTTCATCCTGAACAAATACAGAATAGTTCCTCTAAAACTCGTTCCTGTTCCACACCTTGAATTGAAAGCTTCAGCATTGTCAGTGAAATTGATGAGAAAAATAGTGGAAGAAATATACTTGGAACATTTGATTGAAATCTACCTTTGAACTGACGTGGTGTAAAGATCGAGGTTGTATAAGAACAAATATAAGGACGCTGAAGAAATTCGGAGGCGTCTTACCGATCAGTTTATTGAACTTCACGAAGCGAAGAACGATCAAGAACTGCGGAAGTGAAGAAAAATACTGTTGACTTAACTAGATTAAACCTCACACTTGGAAGAAAAGCTAATTGATACTTCTAATCACGTTAACTACGGTGCGGTTATCCGTGATATGTAGAGTTATTTTGGTCATGTATAACACATTTACCAACCACCTCAGGTTAATTTGCCTAATTTCCAAATCGCTTTCGACATTATTCCGCAACACTGTGGGCCTAAACTCAGTATTTCTCACTATACAGACAATCATCTGGATTCGTCACTTATCAAGCAGTTGTGATCTGTGCATGTATTGCACATTCACATAAGGCTTCACACCCATTACGTAAAACAGAAATCGCAGTAGTACAGTAATCTCCTGCTGTTCTACGTACTCTTCAAATTGTCAGCATCTACACCGAACAGATCTGTGCTCGCTGAATAATCCTTGTTGGTGAGAAAGCAATCATGTACGAGTTGAGTAGTTGGACAGTGAGACGATGAGAACGACAACTCCAGATCTACATGTGTAACCAAACAATCATTGGTGTTACAATTAAGCTGTCATTACAGACACCAATAAACGAAGCGTGATGATGGATGATACATTGGCTTGAAAACCTGTAAGAAGTTAAATATTTAGTCACCTATCAAAATCATGGACTGTAGTACATTTTCAACTGTATTATTTATGCAGAAAACTCGTTGGATTTCGTGAAGAAATTTCCCTTCTCCTGTGTATAGATGATGACACTGACAATTCGGACTGTTGGAGCTAGTCGTACAGGCAGAAAAACGAAGTCAAAAGTTATTTTGAAAACACGTATTTACTTAAAAATTAGTAGACGAGGTTGAGTTTGACGACATATATGAATAACTGAAATGCTATTCGAACATGTTCAGTCGGTGAGCATTTCTTGTTCACATGTGTGGTGGAAGCATTCATTGAGCTGTATTGAGCAGTGAAGAGACCGATCTAATATTGAGGCTACTTCTAAAATTTTATGTGACTGAAAATTAAAAATATACATCAATTTGATCTTGTCTAAACTCCGCCTGTAGCTGATCCAGAGTTACTGCCGGTAACACCAATGATTGTTTGGTTACACATGTACATCTGGAGTTGTCGTTCTCATCGTCTCACTGTCCAACTACTCAACTCGTACATGATTGCTTTCTCACCAACAAGGATTATTCAGCGAGCACAGATCTGTTCGGTGTAGATGCTGACAATTTGAAGAGTACGTAGAACAGCAGGAGATTACTGTACTACTGCGATTTCTGTTTTACGTAATGGGTGTGAAGCCTTATGTGAATGTGCAATACATGCACAGATCACAACTGCTTGATAAGTGACGAATCCAGATGATTGTCTGTATAGTGAGAAATACTGAGTTTAGGCCCACAGTGTTGCGGAATAATGTCGAAAGCGATTTGGAAATTAGGCAAATTAACCTGAGGTGGTTGGTAAATGTGTTATACATGACCAAAATAACTCTACATATCACGGATAACCGCACCGTAGTTAACGTGATTAGAAGTATCAATTAGCTTTTCTTCCAAGTGTGAGGTTTAATCTAGTTAAGTCAACAGTATTTTTCTTCACTTCCGCAGTTCTTGATCGTTCTTCGCTTCGTGAAGTTCAATAAACTGATCGGTAAGACGCCTCCGAATTTCTTCAGCGTCCTTATATTTGTTCTTATACAACCTCGATCTTTACACCACGTCAGTTCAAAGGTAGATTTCAATCAAATGTTCCAAGTATATTTCTTCCACTATTTTTCTCATCAATTTCACTGACAATGCTGAAGCTTTCAATTCAAGGTGTGGAACAGGAACGAGTTTTAGAGGAACTATTCTGTATTTGTTCAGGATGAAACACCTCGTTGTACTTGCATCATCTCATATAAGCTACGGCTCCATCACCGCTTTCTGAGGCATCAGATATCGATCTTTTAATAAGAGGCTCGATACATAAACATGGTAATATCCTCAAGGTTTTAACACCTGCAATTCTTTACAATTAAGTTTCCATACTCGAACCCAAACCGTCATCACATCCGCAGTTTTCACGATACAGCTTTTGCGTTTCCCGCATCCATAAGTGAAATAAGAGGGCTTCCTGCAATAGTAGAGTAAAGAATAACTACAATATATGATAGTGCAAATGACAGCTGTTAGCAGTGTCTAAACTTGGTAACAGTTTATCAACAAACAAATACTGAACCAAGGACAAACAA